ATGACTAACCATGATTCCAATCATAGTCCTGGCAGCCTGTAAAACTCAGTGGGCATGCATGTAAACATGCTCCAAATTCGGACGAGACAGAAATGGAGACATGATTGTGGTACGACCACACCTCCTGGGTGGTGCTTGCTTTATTTCTCTCTCTCTGTAGGGAGTGCATGTGCCCTCTGGAAATTTTTAAAAATGTAAAGTAAGGCCTACAACTTTGTTTACTAATGCTGAGAACAATTTCTTTCTAGTAAGTCTGCTATTAAGTTTTGTTTTCAGAAACATAAAATTCAAATAAAATGTAAAAAAAGCAAGTATGTAAATATCATTACTTGTCTCACCCAGCAATTCTTTACTCTTAGCACTCATAAATCCTTATGCTTTCTGCAAGATTAGAAAAACCTTTCCTTCAAACTCATCATAAATTATAATCAAAATCTTCTACATAAACAGAGAAAAATGTTATATTTCATGTACTTTTGACTAAGTCTTTGAAATCTCATGATTAACAGTTTTGGAAGTGAAAATTTTAAAGTTAAAATGATTTGAAACATGATCAAGTAACAGTTTGCATTCAATAATGATTCCTAAATGACCATAAAACCTGCAATTTATGACATACATTTTTGAAGCATGCCATTAATTAAAATAGTGTAAGTATAATGTCATTCAAAACTGATTCAAAAATTTGTTTCACACATTTTAGTAAATTATTAATAATTTAAAATATTTTCTTAGGCATGTAGTTTAGACTCTGAATGCTATTTATCAAATTTTCTGTATTTTTCCTCAATTGATCACATTTTGACGCCCATAAATAAATACACACCATTTGAGAGGAGGTATATTGGTAAGCTTATTTTATATTCATAGTCATAATAAACATGGTTCTAAAGATTTTCTGACCCAATATTTCATTTCAATAATCAGAAGTATGAGAACAAAAAGCATAATGTCCATCTGAAGGGAAAAGCATTGTATCTGAAGCTGCTGTTTGTCTACCTAAGCCTTTTTCTCCCCAACCCTGAACTTTTGTTTTTAGCTGGGCACATTGTCACTCTGCTGCAAATGAAGACAGAATGATTTAGCCTGGCTTCCTCCCTTCCTTTCTTATTACGTTTTAAAGCCACAGGGTAGATAACTTATGTTATTAGTTGTAGTGTATTTGTGTACTTGTTGTATTATTATGACTTTGCTGTTTTATGCCACTTAATGTAATATGCATGTGCATGTGTGACAGTCTGGTTTTGACAATGAGCCACTATTACCTGCAATCCCTTTAAGAGAAAAGGAGCACCTGGTCAGCTAGCTCTGTCCAGCTAGCTAGGCCTGCTCTGCTCAGCCTTGGTTCTGCTAGCTAGCCTTGCTCTGCCCTGATGGCCTTGGCTTGGCTTGGTCCCACCTCAGTTCCACTCAGCTCCATGCTATGAGCTCTGAGAGGGAGGAAGCATTTGCAAGCACAGCAATGGACTTTGTGAGCTCAACCTAAACTTACAATAAACAACATGACATCAGCGTTTCGTGTCTTTTCCAACTCCCTGCATCTCTATTTGACCCACCCTTTGGAGGAGGAAAGAAATTCACTAATCAGTCACCTAAATAAATATTACATTTCTCAGACTTCCATGTAACCAGACATGATCATATGACTGAACTTTTGCAATAGAACACAAACGAACATTTGTGTGGTAGTTTGGGGGGGAAAGAAACTTCCTTAAAAGGCAGTGGGGCTTGTCTTTTGCACCCTCTCATCTACCACATGCACTGTGTTTGGACTGTGCTTTTCCGGCAGAGATCTATTTTGGCCCATGAGGATGACAGCCACTCTGCTCAGGTCTAGTCTCACATGTAGGAGAGAAAAAAAGCTTCTATCTTACTTAAATTACTATTCTAAGGTTTCAGATAGTTGGAGCTAAATCTGATTGCAGACAATAATCTATTTCTTGGTATAGAATTTTGCTTATTCATTCCTTGAACACACAGTTATTGAGTACATTTTATGTGAAAGGAACAATACTAACTGGGTACGAAACAATGACAATGTTTTATCTTTTATTTTGATTTTCTAAAATCTTTCAGAAAAGATTTTGGAACCTGACTCTCCTTTTCCTTTGTTCCATTGTTGTTTCTACCCTGTGTGTATCACACAACTCTTAACTCTTTCATTATGATGGGATACTTTTTTTGTCTTTAGATTTTATACTGATACCGTCATTAACTTATATTTTCAAAAGTTAAAAAACAACAAAACACCTAAATAACCCAAGAATATCATAACTTGAAGCAAAGTTTCAACTTCCTACTCTGGATATATGACTGCTCATGATAAAAATTTATAATGCATGGAGGCCAGCAGGTGGCATGGTGGTTAACGGTGCTGGACTCCCACTCGACCGATTGCACTTTGGGTTTTGGACCTGGTAGCTTACTCTCTCTCTCACTATATCCCTCTCTGGTCAAATTAAAATAACTAAAATAATATTTATTTATTTATTGGGTTGTTGGAAAAGTCATGATGTATTTTTCTATGTTATTCTATGCAAAAATGCATCATGACTTTTCTGACAACCCAATATTTGCTTTTGGGCAAATTCAAAATATCATTTGACAGGTCGTTAAATACTTAGATAAAATGTGTTTTTTATGTTAGCACTTAGAAGTGCACTATAGCTTATAAGTTTTCAGTGTTAGTCACACATATAACATATATAGAAGAATACTAAAATTCTGGGAACAATGGTGATATAAATGCCTCTCTGTAAATGACTTTTCTAGTTTGTTTTGTTGCTAACAAGAGAAAATATCTGAAACTGGGTGATTTACAAAAAACAGAGATTTAATTTAGCTAAAAATTTGGAGGTCCTAGGCTCAAGGGTCACATCTCACACACTTCTTGCACAGTTACAGTCATATCACAAAGTGAGAGCAGAGCAAACTGGCTATGTTCTGTCTCTCTGTTCGAGTCTCATTTCTTCTCCTTATAAACCCACCAGAATTCAATCATGGGGGTCTTACCCTAATGACTCTAATTCTGATTTCTTCACGGAGGTCCTATCTTTCAACACTCTGAAGGCCTTATGTTTCCTCTTAATACTTTCACAACCAAATCTCAGCACATGAGTTTCAGGGACACACAAACCACAGCAATGACTCACTTCCCCACTAGGTAACTGGACCGCACCAGGAACAGGGTAAACAGATGTATGTCCACTGGATTCCTGATTTAATTGTACTGCTAATGGTGAAGTGTTCCCACTTGTGATTTCCTTTTAGATTCCTCCTAAACGCTAACTTATAAGTTTCTGGAGTCTATGAAAAGCTTTGGAGTTTCTGTTTTGTTTTGCTTTGTCTTTTCAGGATGTTCTAGTTTTAAAGCAGTCTTTTATTTCTAAATTTTAAAAGGTATCAAATACTTAATAGGTTTTAAAATGTTTGAAATACAATAAAATTTGAAGTTATATATATATATATATGTATGTATATGTGTGTGTGTGTGTGTGTGTGTGTGTGTGTGTGTATTTATATATAAGTGTAAAAAGCAGAATTACCTTTGGGTCCACATTGAGAATTTTTCTATCCCTTTTGTACTTGAAAAGTAAGCCTTCTGGATTATCAGCAATCACTTGATAATTGGGACTTGAATTACAAACAGCAATATGACTGTCCCAGTTGTAAAAACTGCAAAAATAAACAGTTCTTAGAAATTGAGCTGTATAATGCATTAAATTGACAAACACATTTCAGAAAATATTTAGGACAGTTAGTCTCAAGGTAGGTAGAAAGGGACAGTCGATTTTCCATGTAGCACACATCTGAGATTAAAATTCTTGAAGAGAAAAAAGAAATTCTTGAAGAGATTATAACGGGCTCTTCTTACATAATTTAGATACATATGTATGACTATTTTGCATGATTTCCTGGTTTGGACACTATAAGACCTAGGGCCTATTCCTGTATTATATTCCCAGGAAGTCAAGAAGAAAATTGGTGCAATTTGAGGTTATTTGCTTCAACAGAAACTCTTCAGGGTAATATGAGATTGCTTACTAAAAGGGAGTGCAGGCTAAGTCACCTCTTTTTATTCTAAACAATTTTAAATTAATTCATTTCTTTCAGGCTCTATTTTTTAAATAATATATTTCCCAGGGAGTGAGGAGACTATATTTGAATGGTTACCATAGCCAGATGTGATTTGATGTATTCTATCACAAAATCCACAAGCAGTTGCTCATTTCATAGACAAGGCAAGGAGACTGGGGGGGGGGGCAACTAACAAGGTTAAGGTCTGAGAACTAATACGTAATAGGAATAATATTTCAACCCAGATCTGTTTCATCTCACACACTTCTTGCACAGTTACAGTCATATCACAAAGTGAGAGCAGAGCAAACTGGCTATGTTCTGTCTCTCTGTTCGAGTCTCATTTCTTCTCCTTATAAACCCACCAGAATTCAATCATGGGGGTCTTACCCTAATGACTCTAATTCTGATTTCTTCACGGAGGTCCTATCTTTCAACACTCTGAAGGCCTTATGTTTCCTCTTAATACTTTCACAACCAAATCTCAGCACATGAGTTTCAGGGACACACAAACCACAGCAATGACTCACTTCCCCACTAGGTAACTGGACCGCACCAGGAACAGGGTAAACAGATGTATGTCCACTGGATTCCTGATTTAATTGTACTGCTAATGGTGAAGTGTTCCCACTTGTGATTTCCTTTTAGATTCCTCCTAAACGCTAACTTATAAGTTTCTGGAGTCTATGAAAAGCTTTGGAGTTTCTGTTTTGTTTTGCTTTGTCTTTTCAGGATGTTCTAGTTTTAAAGCAGTCTTTTATTTCTAAATTTTAAAAGGTATCAAATACTTAATAGGTTTTAAAATGTTTGAAATACAATAAAATTTGAAGTTATATATATATATATATGTATGTATATGTGTGTGTGTGTGTGTGTGTGTGTGTGTGTGTGTATTTATATATAAGTGTAAAAAGCAGAATTACCTTTGGGTCCACATTGAGAATTTTTCTATCCCTTTTGTACTTGAAAAGTAAGCCTTCTGGATTATCAGCAATCACTTGATAATTGGGACTTGAATTACAAACAGCAATATGACTGTCCCAGTTGTAAAAACTGCAAAAATAAACAGTTCTTAGAAATTGAGCTGTATAATGCATTAAATTGACAAACACATTTCAGAAAATATTTAGGACAGTTAGTCTCAAGGTAGGTAGAAAGGGACAGTCGATTTTCCATGTAGCACACATCTGAGATTAAAATTCTTGAAGAGAAAAAAGAAATTCTTGAAGAGATTATAACGGGCTCTTCTTACATAATTTAGATACATATGTATGACTATTTTGCATGATTTCCTGGTTTGGACACTATAAGACCTAGGGCCTATTCCTGTATTATATTCCCAGGAAGTCAAGAAGAAAATTGGTGCAATTTGAGGTTATTTGCTTCAACAGAAACTCTTCAGGGTAATATGAGATTGCTTACTAAAAGGGAGTGCAGGCTAAGTCACCTCTTTTTATTCTAAACAATTTTAAATTAATTCATTTCTTTCAGGCTCTATTTTTTAAATAATATATTTCCCAGGGAGTGAGGAGACTATATTTGAATGGTTACCATAGCCAGATGTGATTTGATGTATTCTATCACAAAATCCACAAGCAGTTGCTCATTTCATAGACAAGGCAAGGAGACTGGGGGGGGGGGTCAACTAACAAGGTTAAGGTCTGAGAACTAATACGTAATAGGAATAATATTTCAACCCAGATCTGTTTGCTTTACATATGTGTTCTTTCCATGACTCAGTATGGCTGGTTGTCTAGTATTTTATCTTTTAAAAAATCTTCTATCAAAACTTCTTTTTTCCATATCTTATTTTATACCTCCTTGTTAAAACTGAATATAATACTGTTATGCAAATTGGAAGTATCCTCAATATACTTGTCTTTACATATCTCATTCCTGTTTTGATACATTTCTAATATTATATTTGTTTTTAAAATGATAGTCACAGAGATAATTTACATGACTATGGACCAATTTGTCTCTCAAACATTTGCATTTTTTAGTTTGCTATAGGACACATAGGCTTGCCCGAGAGAGATGCAGAGAGAAAGAGAGACAGAGACAAAGAAAGTGAGAAATCACCTCCCAGGGTAATGGCCACAATACAATCTCCAGTCTTTTGGGATTTAGGCACGTATGCACACATGCCCAGGGTGGTTTTCAAGACACTGGGTCTAACTCAAACTGCAGTTGGCTATGTGAGATCCAGTTGCATTTGTACCCCCTTCATCCCCTGCCACCTGCTGGCCCAATGTGTGTGTGTGTGTGTGTTTGTATTCAATTGATCTCCCTAATCCTATTTTTAGGTTATTTTGCCCTCTATTATGCCACTTTCTCCTTTTATATATATATATATATACACACACACACACACACACACATTTAAATAACAAAATTTATCACCAAAGAATTTATGCACATGCCAGAGAGAAAGAATGAGAGAGGGAAAAAAAAGCACCCTCCAATGGGGCATAGCCATATTGCAATCCATTTTCCTCCATTTCTCCATCCCATGATGGTTTTGGATACACAGATAGGCAGGTGTGCACAAACACGCACACACACACACAGTGTGATCTTATTTATTTATTTATTTTTGAGAGGTTTTCACTATAGGGCGTGTGCGCTCGCCAAACAGAGACATAGAGACAGAAAGTGAGAAATCACCCCCCAGGGGGGATGGTCATGCCGCAATCCCTTCTCCATTCTCCTCTCTGGATCTTGGGCACGCACACACAGACACACCCGGCGTGAGTTCTAAGCCACTTGGTCCGGGACTCGAACCGCGGTCGACTACGTGGGAGTCCAGCGACATAGCCATTACGCTAACTGCTGGTTCCCAGACACACAGTGTGATTTTAAAGCCACTAGGAGCTGGAGTTGAGGAGTGATTAACCATGTGGGAACTGGCTCCCTATGCGTGGCACTGAACTGCTGTGCTATGAGGCTGACTCCTCCACTTTCTCCTTTTGAAAGAGATTTCATTGATTGAACCCACTCTGCATTACATTCTTGCTTTCTGAGGCATCAGTATTACCACTTTTGTGTTATTACCTAAAAATACGTTTATCCTCAAGTTTTTCAATACTCCAAAAGGAGCAACCGCACAAATCGTTTATTTGTATTACTGGGAAGGGGAGTATACTCTCTCCCTTCCCCTACTTCTATTTCTATGGCCAAGACAGAGGAATGTCTGCCCTTTTGAGATACGGTGTAAGGAAAAGTGATTTTCTAATCATCTTTATTTGGTCAGTCCTCCCTAAAAAGGCAGAAATTACTATCTGATTGATGAGTTGAGAGAAGATGTCAGCATTCATGCTTTTAGGGCTTCATTTTTTGCTAGCCTTTGCAACAGAAACTTAATGTAGTAGGATCAGTTCCTAACAGAGTGTTGGCTTGTGGAAGGCCTGCAGTCACAATGACAAATTCAATTCAGTGGTGTAAGTATTATGAACCAATCTGACGTTGCACCTAAGCTGGGTTTCCAAATTCTGTTTAATCCATAATAAAACACATAATTTAGCCTTAATTTTACAGACCGTTTGATGAGGAGATAGTGAAAATCTCCCTAATCCTATTTTTAGGTTATTTTGCCCTCTATTATGCCACTTTCTCCTTTTATATATATATATATATACACACACACACACACACACACATTTAAATAACAAAATTTATCACCAAAGAATTTATGCACATGCCAGAGAGAAAGAATGAGAGAGGGAAAAAAAAGCACCCTCCAATGGGGCATAGCCATATTGCAATCCATTTTCCTCCATTTCTCCATCCCATGATGGTTTTGGATACACAGATAGGCAGGTGTGCACAAACACGCACACACACACACAGTGTGATCTTATTTATTTATTTATTTTTGAGAGGTTTTCACTATAGGGCGTGTGCGCTCGCCAAACAGAGACATAGAGACAGAAAGTGAGAAATCACCCCCCAGGGGGGATGGTCATGCCGCAATCCCTTCTCCATTCTCCTCTCTGGATCTTGGGCACGCACACACAGACACACCCGGCGTGAGTTCTAAGCCACTTGGTCCGGGACTCGAACCGCGGTCGACTACGTGGGAGTCCAGCGACATAGCCATTACGCTAACTGCTGGTTCCCAGACACACAGTGTGATTTTAAAGCCACTAGGAGCTGGAGTTGAGGAGTGATTAACCATGTGGGAACTGGCTCCCTATGCGTGGCACTGAACTGCTGTGCTATGAGGCTGACTCCTCCACTTTCTCCTTTTGAAAGAGATTTCATTGATTGAACCCACTCTGCATTACATTCTTGCTTTCTGAGGCATCAGTATTACCACTTTTGTGTTATTACCTAAAAATACGTTTATCCTCAAGTTTTTCAATACTCCAAAAGGAGCAACCGCACAAATCGTTTATTTGTATTACTGGGAAGGGGAGTATACTCTCTCCCTTCCCCTACTTCTATTTCTATGGCCAAGACAGAGGAATGTCTGCCCTTTTGAGATACGGTGTAAGGAAAAGTGATTTTCTAATCATCTTTATTTGGTCAGTCCTCCCTAAAAAGGCAGAAATTACTATCTGATTGATGAGTTGAGAGAAGATGTCAGCATTCATGCTTTTAGGGCTTCATTTTTTGCTAGCCTTTGCAACAGAAACTTAATGTAGTAGGATCAGTTCCTAACAGAGTGTTGGCTTGTGGAAGGCCTGCAGTCACAATGACAAATTCAATTCAGTGGTGTAAGTATTATGAACCAATCTGACGTTGCACCTAAGCTGGGTTTCCAAATTCTGTTTAATCCATAATAAAACACATAATTTAGCCTTAATTTTACAGACCGTTTGATGAGGAGATAGTGAAATTGATATTGAGGACATTATTCAATGTTCAGTTTTATATCTATGTCTCTTTAAATGATTATTTATGAGATATACAGATATGGATAATCCCAGTAAAATATTTGAGTCACAGCTCTGCTTAGAGTGGCATGGTTTATATCGCACATTCCTATCTTGTTGCTCAGACCTCAAATTAAAAGGCTTACTGAAGTCCAGGCAGATTTTATATAAATACTCTCTACATAAAACAGGTAATTTATATAGCACGTGGTACTTCTGATGAAGTAATTTGGGTTGTTTGTCATTACTTTTGTTCTCCAAAGCAGGGATGGGAAAAGGGCTTCATTTCACATACCAATTTTAATAGCTGATTATTACCATTTAATAAAGATAATAATTAATTAAATACAATTACTTAATTACCATGTGCTGGGTACTGCTGTAAATGTAGTAACTCTACTATCTCCTTAAATCTTATTATATACATATACGTTTATATACAGATGGTCCCTTTTTTCCTTTCCAAGATAAAAATCACCTCCACGTGTTGAGTTCCAAATTTCATCTCTTATTGCCTCTTTAGTTACTTCAAATAATTACCCCAATTTTCCCTCATATAATTACTCATGTCACTATAAGCTTCTCCCTAGAACTAACAAGCATGTTAATAACCCCTACAAAGAAGAGGAAAAAAGAAAGGAAGAAAAGAAAGACTGGAGGAAGGGAGGGGAAAAGGGAGAAACAAGAATAAGAACGGGAAAGAAAATTGAGTAATTTTTCCAAATTCACATTCTCGCCAAGGTGTCACATTTTCCTTCTGATACATTACATTTAAACCCGTGCTTCCTACGCCAAGTTACCCCACCCATTCCATCTCAGTTCTCTCAACAGAGTTGCCGATCTGCATCACCTTCTCATGGTACTTACCAGGATGCAGAGTAGACTTCTCAGTTTCAAGACCTACTTTTTTCTTTATTCATGATAGAGCATGTATGCATGCATGAGAGAGAGACAGAGACAAACAGACAGACAGACAGACAGAGAGACACATCTTTCACAGAATCTGGTCACATCATGATTCCCTTCCTCTTGTTCTCCAGCACACTGCATCTTGGGCACTCACATATGTACTTCGCATGTTTTAGGCAGTCTAGGCTGGAGATTCAAACCACAGTTGTCATGTGGGATTCAGCTTCTCTTGAATTGTACATTATAACTGTGCCAGAGAGGTGGTCC